AACAGATTGACATCTAGTCGTCCACATGATGAAATCCTTCTGTCCAGAGCTGGAGCGACACAGTCCTGGTCTCTGTTTCTGATGATGTAAATGAAGAGCGTTGGTGTGACGGAGGCTCTGCTGGGCCTCGACCCAGAGGTTGGGCCCCGGCGCTGGTTAACGCTTATCCTGTTTGTGTGTTGTCGTTTCCAGTCGTGGAGGATCCTGCTGTTCGGGGCGCTGAACCTGCTGTGTACCGGCTGTCTGCTGATGTGGTGCAGCTCCACCAACAGCATGGGTGAGCACACACACACACACACACACAGACACACACACACACACACACACACAGGCAAACTGACACACACTCCGACTGACAGAAGAAACAACAGCGAGACTCTAACGGACCCCGATACCTGTCGACACACAGCAAACGCAGATTGACAGCTATACGCGTGGAGCATGTGTGTGCGCCGCGGCCGCGGACACACACTGCGAGCGCGTCTTCAGGAGGTGTGTTGGCGGCGTGGCCTCACCGCGGGGCTCAGACCGATCCCGCTGCATGTTTGGGTCACCTCAGTCAAAATACGGCGCTTTAAAGGGCACGCTGAGGAAAAGGAGTCCTTCACAGCGTCTTCCTGTAGCCTCGGGAGCAGCAGCACAGAGAACAGATCTGTCATGTTGACGGCCACGCTTCTGTTTCAGAGCCGCTCACATCACATCTGACAGGAGGACGGCTTCAGTTCATAGCTAACCAGGATTCTGACAGTAATGATGCTGCACCGGCTCCACTGTCTGTCTGTCTGTCCGGGGGACGCTATCAATCCTGCAAAAGTACATTTATGAGCACCACGGTTTTGCAAATCAGACAATGTGCAGGAGTCTGATGAAGACTTCTGGACAGGATGTAGTTCTACGTATTCATCTGTGTTTAAATGGCTAAAATATTACAGTTTGTTTAAAAAGGCTTCAGAGTTTTGTGCCTCATAAAATATCCGCCCTCTTCTCCTGTCGTTGGAGACACTTTTAAACGTAGTCCAGCCGTGACTGGATGATCCGACCCTGAACAGTCCAGAAGCTAAAAGGTTTTGTCAGTTCACAGAATGAAGACGCTGTTCAGTGTCATTTCATAACAGGGCAGAATCTGCTCATCTAGCCGACCGGCACACCGTCATCAGCAGCTGATTGTTCATTACTCTCATCGTGTCACAGACTTTGTGTTCTTCAGTTTGTCCGAGTCCTGCTCAGGAAACACAAACCGATGACCGACCGTTTGGAGCGCTACAGTTTTTGGAGGCGTGCACCAAGTAGAGGTTGTCAGCAGCCTCCATAGGTATCAGCGTCTGTGCTATCTGGTGCACTTAAGACCATTTCTGTGCTTTGGCTGAGCTGCACACCGACTTCCATCTGTGACAGGCTCATATTTAGGACTCAAACACAAACCTCTGATTCAGGTTTATACTCAGAGAGCAGCAGGGACGGAGGAGAGCTTAGATTTAGGGTTCAGAGGGGAAACACCTAAATACGATTAAATGGCAGCCGGCAGCGATCTGAACCCTGCTTCTGTTGCTCCTGTCACTTTTTTCTCACTGTGGGCTCCTTTTTATTTATTTCATATAAAGTCCTGGACCTCTGTGGAAACAGAACAACCACGACTAGAAGGAGACAGAACTCAGAAACGTCCTCTGTGCAGTGATGCAGGTATAAACCTTCACTACTGGCTGAAGGCGACGAGCTCAGAGCTGCAACACATGCTGATCTTCAGTTACTTCGTCTGTAAAATAGTAAAATGTGTCCACGATAAAACCCCAAAACCTTCAGTTTGCACGGTAACTGGACAAAGAAAAGCCTCAATTGGTCTCATAAAAGCATCACATTTGAGAAACTTGACCTGGAAAATGTTTGCAGACATTCAGACAGTCGAGCTTCTGTCTGTTTTCTGCTCCTGTGACGAGGATACAGAACTCAGAAATGTCCTCTGTACAGTGAGACACAGGTATAACAAAAAATCTTTAAAAAGATGAAAACTGGATTCTGTATTTTAATTTGACAATAATTTGCTGAGAAGATGGCGTACAGACCGTCTAGTCAAGCCCTGGACTCAACAGTGATTCTTATCGGATGCCCAGTCAGAGTAGATGTTCTAGAAAACAAGCTGTCGTCTGGTTTTGCTGTTTCAGTCCAAATGGTTGAGGGCTGGTGTGTCTGAACGGTTCCCTACGCTGACATCAGCAGTGTCCTGGGAGGAAATATGGAGGATTTAGGATTAGATCGTAAAATTATGGAGTGTAGACGAATTAATAAACCTGTAAAGATTACATGTCAAACATAACGGAGCGTATTCTGAAGAACGACCTCTTTAATTACTGACAAGTTAGATTAGAATGACAGGCTTTTTGTCTGCAGTGCAACACATGAATTCAACTGAACTTTAAGGCAGTTCCTGTGCAGAATGTGTGCAAATCAACAAAGCTACCACAGGACACAGCTTCAGCGCTAACAAGCTAACGGTGTTCAACGTAGACGCTCTGAATGTGAGAAAGTTTGGGATCCTGAGGTGACTTCATGCCTGAGGAGGAGTCCGACTGACAGCATTGAGACGGGGCCGCTGTCTCATCGGGCCGAATATCGACGTCGGTGTCGCCTTCCCCCGTTTGTTCGATACCTCTGTTCTCTGCTTCCTGTCTGCGCGACACCCGACGCCGCCGCCGAGTGCGTCTGATGCTGCAGTATTTGCAGGCAGAGCGGCCGGGCGGGGATAAGGTTGCATGTTGCTCCTCTCCGTGGCAGCGTTTTCCTGGCTGATGGGATCCCTGAGAGGATTTAATGTTGGTGGCCGACGCACAAACACTCTGCATGTCTGCACACAGGACGCTCGTCAGGACAGGCAGCAATGAAATATCTGCATGTTTTGCAATTTGTGATACAGAGAAACATGCCAAGTGACGCACGGTGAGCCAGACGTGACTCAACAGTTCACCGTCTGCATCCCAGAACCCATCGGGAGGGTTGGAAGGCTCGTTATCTGTGAAAGAAATTACAAAATGACTCCACAAAAACAAGTCAGGCTGATATTCAGCTTTCTGACTGGTCTTTGAACTCAGCTTTGTGGAGAAAATTCACCCAATTGAAGCTTAAAATCAAATTTTTTTCATTTAAATACTCACCAGAAATCAAAAGTTTGCTCTAACCAGTTTCTATAAAAAGTCTGAAGATCCTGCGCTGCTCGGCCCGACTGTGAACACATCACTGACTCCGCTGGGACCAACTGGACAACAATCCAGGGAACTCTTCAGCTGAACTTCAGGCTGGGTTTGCACTTGTGCCATTTTGTAAAATAAATAAGCATCTTTTTTTTTAATCATTTAGAGGTGCAGGACTTTATGTTGCAGTTAAAAAATAGCACACGGTGAGAAAACAAAAGTGAAGTGAGCCAAACAATGTCCTGAAACTGTTCAGAGGACGAACGCAGGAGACGTCTGAAGACATTTAAATAAAACATGGATTTTTTACTCCTAACATCAGGGCCAGATGTAGTTGGGTGGAGGCACAGCGGTGCTATCGAGAAGCTAGCGTCGGTGTTCAGCTGGTGCTCAGTGTTCAGTTTCAGAGCGTCTGTGTGGCTGAAGGACTCTGCAGCGTCTCAACACACCAACCGAGCTTCACTCTCATTATTCTCATTCTCTCACAGTCGTCAATCACCGACTCTCTGACCGCGGTCCATCACTGGGAGTGTGTGTAGGGCTTTGTGTTGCTCTGTGTGTGTGTGT